ATTTACCGAGATTTTTGTGTCCCCTCTTTGTGGATATATTTTCATCGGTGGTTTACATATCGGTGAATCTATTTCGGCGATTTTATATTGCTTGCAAATCTTCGCTAACGATAACCGAGACCGCTTCGGCCGAAAGGCACACGTGGGTTTGACTTATCATGTGCGTTACTCGAACACGCCAGACCTGATGGACCCTAACCGTACCCATGTGCTGGCGATGCAGCTGACGCGCGTCAGCGAGATAATCAATAGACCGATGGATGCACAGAGAACGAAGGCTAAATAATTTTTTCACGTCACCGTGTCGCTGCTCAGAAACGGTCTCGGGTCAGAACCACTGAACAGATACATTTGAATCATTGTGTAACCCTTCATATAACCAAAACTTGTACGAGCCTACGAACAATTATTGTTATTTTTATCAATAGTTTATTATATTCTAACAGTAATAATCTTGTTATATGCGTTAAGAACATGAGTCAACCAACCAACCAATGTTTACGGTGCACTTGTTGTCAATGTTGTTATATTATTAATACTGTTACAGCCACTTCCGGATTTGTTGTTCAAAATTTTTGTACAAACATCCGTATATATATATATATATATATATATATATATATATATATATATATATATATATAATTAGTTGTCATTAATGTTGTTTTTAGCTGTTGATGTTGTTGCCCCTTTTGCAATGGTGTCAGTGGTTGCGTAACACCTGTTTCGTACGTAGGGTACGAAGCATGTAGGGTTTCGTATACTCTAGCATGGCAATAGCTAGCACGCCGTGTGATTGAGCTGTTGTGATTTATTCCTTGAACAAATATGTTCTATTATCGCTGTTTTTAATGTTATTCTCACATGTTTTTTTCTTTTGTAGACTTATTATGGTTGACTCCCGTAGGTGTTGCGGGATCACTTACGTAGACTACGCGGCATTCGTGTATCTACTACGTAACGTGAAGTGTTGTGGCGTATTCGTCACAATGTGAGACAGTGTCTCGTTTGTCTTCTGTCCTGTCAATGACAGGCACTGTTTCCTGTCGTCGATGATAGCAGTTTTGGACGGGTAACAAGTGGATGAGTCGACGGAAAAATGCCACTTGTGAACCATTAACGCCTCTATTTTGCAGTGGATCATAGCCACGAGTAAACATTCCGACATTCAATTAGTATAGATATCGTAACGTTGATGGCAATCTTGCGTGTTGATGTTGTTAATTTGTCTGTTTGTATCAGTTGTTTTGTTTGCAAGGGAGCTGCGTCGGTTAGCCGCTGGTGAATTGTGCGGGGGTATCACGAGATGCTTATATGTTAAAATAGTCTCCCCTTTTACCTGCTCGGCCAGTGATCTGAAAAACTGTTGCAAAGTTCTTCAAGCCAGAAGAAGTTTTCGGTCTTTCAAGCGCTACTTTCCAACTTTTCGATATCAACTATTAACGAATTGAATCAACTTGTACACTTCACTCGGAACTTAGAAAAGACCTTATAAGAAATATTGTTAAACTGCTTTCCCCTTCGGCGCTAAGTGCCTTATCAATGTCAAAAGGCCATGCTTTTTGTTAATTTTGGAACTCTCGGAAACGCTCCTGTGAACAACGCACGCTTCTCCAGTCTTTCTTCTGTCAGAGGCAGTGAATAGGTTGTCGGTCCGGCGTCTCGATCGAGAGAACATTCTAACGTATTGATTGCTCGTAATTTTTCTAAATGGGGATTGATTGATTGATTAGCACCATTGCCCTGTCCTGACGGCATCGTTTTATGCTAAACTTTAGACTTGTTTAGACAAAGATATTTTGCAGCGCTTCCCTGTGCCCGGGTCCGGACCCAGATCTTGCCTCTTTCTTAGTCGATCATTTATAATTACTAGTAGTAATAACAGTAGTATTCTTATACTAAGAGTATAAAACACTCGATGGCATGTACTTAACATCAAAGACAAGTATCCTTGTATAACCAGCATCACGATCATAGTCATCGTATTTGCTCTGTCATTCTTAGCATCAGCAGTCATGTTATTAGCGGTATTAGCAGAATAGCTATTCATATATCTATTAATGTTATTTTTATATAATATATGCGGATGCATTGCGGTTCGTGTGCGAGAGAGCGTCGTGTCACCCCCTAGCCAGAGAGGGGGCGGTATCATTATCATGATCAACATCCTCATCATCCTCGCCGTTATCATCATCAACCGACTACATGCTTGGGGGCTTGTTATGTGTGAGGTGTCACTATATATGTGCTGTGTCATAATACAAGTTTTGCTTACGTAGCACTCACGCTCATCCTTACGTCTCTCACGTGTTGCCGTTGTTGCTTGTTGATGTTGTTGTTGTTGTTGTTGTTGTCGTCGGAGTTGTTGTTAACAACGTTGGTGATGTCTCTCAGAATTGAGTTGTGGCAAGCACCACACAAGGCACGCTCGAACGGGTACAGGGGCGCGGATAAAGCGGGCCGGCAGTTCTGTGACGAATCGTCGTTCATCGTTGTTGTCGAGGGGGTGCGGACAGATAACGGCTGCCTTAAGCTTGAGTAAAAGCACAGAGGGCTATCTCTCACGATCTTTCTCCCCGCTCCCCCGCTAAACATGACACGAACATGACCCTCGAGACAGGGCGAGGCAGGCAGGGAGACACATTTGAAGTAGTTAGCAGTTAGGTAGTTAGTAGTAGGAGTAGTTACTTAGTTAGTAGCAGTATTTAGTTGCATTTGTACTTTGGGTGATTCGGGATTGGCGGCGTCCGGCTGCGCACATCCCGCCGACGCGAATTATCCCCATTTACGTCCTTATGTTTACTTTTGCGTGTGTGTGTCTGTGAGTGTGTGTTTGTGCGTGCGTTTGTGTTTGCGTGTGTGTGTGTGTGTGTGTGTGTGTATGTGGTGTGGGTGTGTGTGTGTGTGTGTGTTTGTGTGTGTGTGTGTGTGTGTGTGTGTGTGTGTGTGTGTGTGTGTGTGTGTGTGTGTGTGTGTGTGTGTGTGTGTGTGTGTGTATGTATAATCAAGTCGGGCCATTGAGTCGCCGTTCACTTCCTGTATCATTCTATTGAATATGTCGAATTCTTTGGCTTCATTGACTCTTTTTATAGAGACAATTTTTTTGTTCTGCGTTTTCCAGTCCGTCACTTTCTTCCGTGGAGCACAAACCTCTTTGGAGGTTCTGATACACTGTTTGGTGCAACAGTAACTTTGTTGCTGTTATTATGATTGTAATGACAATGATGATGGTCATTATTATGTTTAGGACAGGAGAAATAGCGTTCGAGCAGATGAGCGGACACGGACGGTGCCTTCCGACGCAGACCACGGCCCTTGGGAAACATGTTCAGTAATAGCAGTGGTAGAAGTAGTTGATGATGATGATCGATGACGTGCCCACCCATGGTCCGCCTAAATCTGCCCAGACCGGGCTTCGAGATATGAGCAGCAATTCAAATTGACTGGTAATGGTCAGGACCCTGCTCGTATTCAAAGTCGATTTTTGTTTCTCTTGCGACTACTAAAAACTGCGATTTTCCGGTTTAGTGGTTACTTAGATGGCGACAAATTGGCTGTTCAGGCGACACCCCGAAAAGGCAGTGAACACACGAGTGGACGTCCATTGCCAAATCAATTCGTGCGCGTAATAACGCAATTGCTCAATAGTCAACGTTTCGACATTGTTCAGTCATCATTTCATTGAAAATCTTGTTCTCGAACGTGTTCCAGCGCGTGCTGCAACACGTAGACAATGCAATTAAGCCGATTCGCAGGAAGAATTTCCTTCATGTTGAAATTTTGTGTTTTTCCGATAATCTTATTTTCGACACTGTTAAAAGTAAGTGAATCGCTCCTGCTTGTCTATCTGTTGGTATTATGTTGCTTGGAACGGTATTTGCCATACTGTCGCATACATTCTGGAAGATACTGCGGTCCTCCTCACCACCTTCCTTGCCTCATCTCTATTCTTCTCCTGTAAGTGGTAAGTGTTTTTGGCCATGTGAACATAGGCGCGAAATCGTTGTTGCTATCATCTGGGTAAAAAAACAACGTTTGCCGCTTTTGTTTTTGCGTCAGTACATGGAGATCGACAAACAAAACTATTCATTAGTAAAAGGACTGATTTCGGTAATACGGTGATTCGGACACATCATCGAATTACGTTAGGTTATTGTGGACAACAGTCACCAGTTATTAGTCCGTGACTATTGTTCATGGTTATTAATTACGTGCATATTATTACTATAGTTATTGGTGTTAATATCGACTGATTTGCAAAAGCGACCACGAACGCATATACTCGTGTGTGTATATATATATATATGTATATGTGTGTATATATATATATATATATGCGTTGAAATTGTAACGCTCACAACGTGCTTCTTTTATTATGACGACCTGTCATCGTGGTGATACGATGGTAAATGAGGTGAACGTTTTGCCCTAGGTCTTTTTGTCACCTTGCTCTTTTCTTGCTTGTCGGATCGAGGTGGCGTAGAGACCTCGGATCTAGTTGTGATGCGGTCCTAATGCGCTCATCGTCTGGTTAGTTGTTCGTACAGTGGCAGATGCACGTTCGACACGGGAGGTCTCGTCTATCGAGCTTTTCTCAGTCATTTCAATTGTCCCGTTTCTTCTACAGTTTAGTAGTCGTTCACGTAAAGTTTGCCAGTCAAGAATCTCTAGCCTATTCTAGCAAGTTCTGTTTACTTATTCCACCTTTGTTATCTTTACGCTTTGTTGAAATACGCTCTAATTGAGACGCCCGCCAATTGCTCACGTTGATCGCAGTTTGAAGGCTTGCCGTTGTTTGATTATTATTCTTTATATTATTTTTATTGACATATCTTCAATATTCTTCATTTTCTGCTTATCATTAGAATAATATCTAGCATTCTTATAATCGTCACACCATCACGAATACTCAGCCATATATCTATGTATATATATATATATATAAATTTCCGCTTCAACATTATCGTCGCCGCCGCCGCCGCCGCCGCCGTCGTCGTCTACGTTGCAAAGAAATTCAATTAGGACTGTTTTAAAATTTTTACTTACTTCTCTGCTGTCGGCTTTTTTTTTTTTAGTCTCCAAAACTGAGTGAGTGGATTCTTACAGATTTGGGTCCCCCTCATCTCGATGGTCACCTAGTGCAGGAGCTCAGTACCGAGGCGACTGGGGCAAGGAAACGGGCAATCTATACAGCAATGACATTATTTTTTAGTAAAAACGTGTTATTTCATCATTTCATTCAACGTCTCCATCTCGTTATTACGATTATTATTACTATTTTATGGCCGCATACGGATCTTGAGTCGTTCCTCGCTCGGTTTGGCTCACAGTGGTTTCTTGCTCATATCAGATCTTTTTTTTTTATAATTATAACGATTTTTCTATTTAGCATTGTTAGTATTTTTCTTACATCTTTACTAATAGTATTGTTGTTATTATTGTTATCATCATTTTTATAATGTTCTAATTCTTATACTTCACTTAGCCATTATATTTATCAAATAAATCCCTTTGTCATTGCAGTGACTATAATCATAGTACAATATTGCTAGTAATAATAGTAACGATCATAATCATATAGTTGTAGCAGTAGAAGTGGTTCGTGTTTTAGCTGTTCATAATCGTATTAGTGTTATTAGCAATAATTTGTTGCTGCTGTTGCTGCTGCTGCTGCAAATGGCTTGCTTTTGGCCTTTGGTTGATCCTACTGCTATAGCTGTGTTAGCAGTTGCTTCTATTGCAATATACAGATCGCATTGTTACTAATGTCGTAATGAGTCTTTTAGTACTTGTCTAGTAATTGTGGTATTACAATTAGCAGTTTTGCCTTCTTATTGTTACTGTTTTTGCAATGGCTGCTAGTCGATTTGACAGAAGAAAAGATGGAGTCCCGTTGTTATTGTTACTGCTGGAGGGGTTGACTACACTTGTAGCGCTTCTTGTAGCAACAAGAATAGTAGTTGTTGTGTACACTAAGTGACTGGGGCATCTGCTTCTGCGCAGGCCAGACTGGGCCGGGCGCTGTAACGCAGCACTGTATTCTGCGAGTGCTGAATATGTATGAGTGTGTGACCACTAGAACTAACGGCTTTACGGCCGGCAAAGTCCGATGCCGATCACTGCGCTCAGCGTGACGAGCAATAGTGCCGGAGCTGCAGAGGGGGACGCTGGATTACAGGCGTCCGTTTTGCATTGGCAGGTCGTGGATTTGATCTGGAATGTCGCCGTGTTCAGACAGGTCTTGTGCTGGGGTAGGTAGCCACAACGGCGATCCACTGTAGCCTCCTCCATGCCCACTGTGAATCAGACCGAGCAAATCGTACGTGGGTTAACTAACGGGGGCAGACTAGATGAACTCTCAGATTGTTCGACTCGTACGGCTCTGTAGCCGCGCTACTAGCATTATGATTATAACATTACACCACGTGACTTGATGAAGTTGCTCGTACAGAATGGAGAATCAGGGTTTCCCCACCCAGTCAGTCGGTTGGTCTGCGTGTGTTACCGGTCAGTTTGGTTTCACTAGTCGCTAGGTGATACTAGGGGGCCAATAAACGGTGAGCTCTTGTGCAAAAATCGCTATCTGCGACCATGGGGCATGGATAGTAATAATTTCGGCGGTTCAACATAATTATACGGAGATCTTAGGACTGGCTGTACGCGACCGCGTTCCACACTCAAACGAGATTTCTGATAATGGCTAGTCGATAGTCACAGACGGAAAAATATTATCGAGAACGAGAATCCCAGATCAAAATATTATAATGATGGCTTTATTATTATTATATATTTATTATGGAAACTTAAATGCAGTTAGAATGGGGCATCTTTCTCGAGTACAGAGAAAATATGAATAGGGTATGTATTAAATTTTCAGCTTGCCTAAATATTGTGATTTGTGATAAATTTGTAACTAAATACTGTGAGATTTTGCTATCTGATTGCTACACTTGATTACACGAGTATCGGAATTCCGCTCAAGGATAATAAACGTCTAGAAAATACTAACGATTTGTAATTACTACGATTTCAAAAATCCCGCGCATCACATCAACAAAGTTTAGTATCGTATGATTTTTTAAACAATTTTTCATTAGATACATGTATAGACTAGAACACGAAAGCGGATTATATGTACGTATTAGTCCCGTTGTTTGTACTTACTGGTTATGTACATGGTCCTGCAAAGGGAAGCGGGGTTGCCGTGTATGAGTGGGCACTCTTGTATGTGTTCCTTGTGCGGCGGTGACAGGCACGTCGTGCCATTGTATTTACTGTTACAGATGTAGCATCTAAGGGAATCCGCTGTAACACCGAACATGAATGAAGAACGATTCAAGTGATCGGCACATTAAACGAGATAGATTCTAGTAAGTGTACTAATCAAATTTATATTGTGTGAGGATATATCAAGGATCGCAATAGAATGAGCAAGGGAGCTAGCTCACTGAAGTACAAAGCCGTTCACCTCTTTGTCATCCATAGGATTACGTCTATCTTAAAGTAAACAGAGGAGGCCACTAAAAAAGCTGAGATCTGGCATGTGCTAATGACTAGCATGCAGTAAAGTGCTGGCAACGTTAATTTAGTAGTCGAATTCAACAGCCATTATTGCAGTAGGAATCGTTTTTTTTCTGTACTTTATTAGTAGCCTGTAGTGAATCAGACTAGTTTCTTCTGTGGCGGTTGTTGTGTTCCATCTTAGGCTTGGCATGCCATTCCTCCGACAGCTAGAAACAGAAACCCTGTTTATAGTAAATAATTTAAATTGAATCTATTGAAAACACGATTTGAGCCGTTAGGTCATCTGTTATTAGTGTCCCGTTTCTTAATGCAGCGCGTTCCGATTTTAAAAACTCATCCATTGGCACAAAAGTACACAAACACGCCCGACGCACGAAAACACTACTCCCAGGGGTACATACAGATAAGTCTCGCCACGAACCGTATGACCAGACGCATATAGGACTTTGTCCGAGATGGTTTTTCTACCCACCCGAGGGAATAAAGGTGATGGCAAGGATGAAGACAACGGCTAGAATGGCCACTTGCACAGATGTGTTCACCATGGTGACGGAGTGCGTCTGTGTCTCTTGTCGTCTGTGTTCGTGCTGTACTGCTAGCAGGAAACGGGAACGGGACGGGATTCCTGGTGCTCCGGGCTCCCGACGGACGCACTACTCGCCTGCTCGAGCAAAAAAGAATAACAGACACAGTAGTAGAAATAGAACAAAACACACCAATAACAACAAAATTAAAAGAAAACCTATCACCAAGTCAATATCGTTATTCACTAGGTCTTGTAATTATAAAAAAAAAAACCGGGCGACCTGGTTTTAGCTTTATCTATGCTTACTATCTAGTCATTACGGGAGTAGACCTGGAAGAGACGACACAAACCAGCACGACTGCAGCGCACTTAAGGCTTCTTTATGCGAAAGGAAGTGACGCTCTACTACAAGATGAAAAAACAGAAAATGTGTTTTTACTTTGTATACTAGTTCAACGACTACAGCTACTACTATATGGAAAAATCGACTCGGCCCATCGTGTCCTTACAGAGTTAGAATAACTTTCTCTAAACTGCCTATGTACATTGAGACGAGAGGAACGGTCCAATACGTTTTGAGCTATTGGTTGTGCGTTGCATTCAAAGGGCCGTTAGTCACCAGATTTTTTTCTGCTTCTGTCTAACAGGGCAGTAAAAGCAGCATTTCGGCAGTAGGCAAGGCCTGACCAAGTCCAGCCCAACCTGGCGTTGTGCGATAGAAGGAACGGAGAACAAGGGCGTCACACATTCTCGCTCGAGGAGAAGGCTCCTTGGGTAATCGAAATAGCAGAAATACAGGTGGTCCAGACCAAGCAAACATTCAGACTGGCACGCACACTTCTACCATCCTATATCAGCTGGCCTTTTGATGTGCAATTCAGGGCCCGTGATCTCGGAGCGATTGTCGTGGCCATTTGGTGGGATGTAGAAAAACGAGGGATGAAAATAAAGATGGTTTGCTATATTTATAAAAATATAACCTTGAATGTAGATCCTCAAACGATAGTAGAAAAAGTAAAATTCAGACACGCTGCTAGAGGTCTAATAGTACTAAAATAATAAAAGGCAAAACTGTGAATATCTCCGTAGTTGGTTCCGCTCGGCATGACGTAAGAGTATGGAGAAGTCGAAGGTACCTAACAAGATAAATCAACTTGACAGACAAAGGAGCTGTGAGGGAAAAATGGTTAAGCATTAATTATAGCCACTTGAAGGTTGGTCTCCTCGCCTTTCTAAAGCAATTTGACCCAACTCTTTGAAAGGTCTGACGACATGACGGGCATCGTGGGTGCACACGGGCAGCCGCTTTAGGTAAAAGATAACCTAGTCGGCATTCTTGTTTGACCTGTGGTTCTGACAACGTTCCATTGAGTTAAGACACAGTATTGTTTTTTCCATTATCCAACTTTCGTTCCCTGATATATCGTTCTGAAATATAATTCTCATGTCGCGTGATATAATTGAACATGTCAACAAAAATTGCACCGTTATCTTTGGCGATCATAGTCTTACACACTAAAGAAATGCAAATACAAAGATGGGGGCGCGTACAAAGAAAAACTAAGAACGCTGATTGGCTCGTGATCGGGGCGATTGCTTTAGGTATGTATATGTATATAGTGTCCCACACAAGTTAGATGCACGGTATTTATTAACTAGTTGTGAGAGATGTGCTTGCATTAGTGGAAATAAACACGTCGTGTTGGACGCTTTGATATTCATTTCTTTCTTCCTTCGAAATAGGCAGTGCAAACAATATGTCACAATTCCCGCGACCCTGTGTGTTCCTTACGGGCCCTCGCAATGTTCACTCTTCAAACAGGGAGTCACGAGACGGAGAACAGTACATAATAAGTGCAGTGGTTCCACTCTCCCGCTTTGTATGTTCTAGTTCCCCGCTAAGTACAATGTGGTAGCTGCAAGAGCTGTGCCGACCTAAACGAACCGACCAGCTGACACAGCGCTCGGACCCGCGTCAATTAAAGTCAGTTCGTCAGTGGCTCAGCCGCCAGCCTCTGGTATCGATTTGGCTGTTGGTCATCGATCGGTCGACCAATATTTCGAATTTGTGCGGGTGGGGTATAATGGAGGTGGTCAGATGAGCTTCTTTGTTGAGGGACCCTACTCATCACAGCAGCCCCTGCAACGATGCAGCCTAGACAAGAGAGTACAGTTACGTAGGTGACTATTGCGGTTGCTTCGCTCGTCCGTACATTCCACGTACGTAGACACAGTACGCAGTTACTACTATTTCGATTATTCTGCCACCTTATACCAGCGTTTACCAACGTGTAGAAAGTGAACAGAGAACCCAGAAACGGTAGTTCTGCGATTTTTCCTCTGCGTGGCTTATATACTTGGACTCACAGAGAACTGATATAGGAACGCAGATTTTCAGCATCTGTTGCAGCATTTACTATGCTGAAGTGCTGGCGTTCTATAGCCGGCCCTTTTCAAAAGGTCGCTACTCCCATTCGTCCTTCTATCCCTCCCCGATTCCAACAAGTCGTATCGAAATAAGTCTCTAGTCAAGTAACGATTGTAAGACTGGAGAGAAACATTAACATTGGCTCAATGAGAATCGTTTTCATCATTTCGATAGAAAAAGCAATCCGCTTTACAATGCGTACGCCCTATTCTTTCTTTGAGTCTACCTTTTTCAGCTAGCTGGCTTTATCCGAAGCATGAGAAGAACAAGGCGTAGCTATACCTTAATATAATACATGGCATTTTTTGGAAGTGGCATTGTCTGCATCTCTCTGTATGTTTGGCCAAATGCAAAGTTCGCTTGGATGTCCTTGACCTTTTGACCTTGAGAGGTAACTAAAGAGGAAGAAGCAAAAGCGAAAAGTGACGAACATAGCACCGTCTTGTGCGTGGTTAGAATGAATGCGGATCACCAGACCCCGTATTACCATACGTGTACAAATATGGTCAGTGTTTTATGGGACTAGTTTTCGCAGCCATCCATAGCTTTTGTAACTGCTGCTATTGTTAGCGACCGCCACGCGCCATTGCTGGCAATTTTTCCACCCTCGGTGTTACTTATCGCTGAGCGACCAATGCGCTATAGTAAAAATTAGTTGTTTGAGTTTTTACTTTTTGGAACGCGGCGGATTTGTTGTGTTGCGTTGTTCCCAGCGCTTTATTGTCAGCAGTAGCAGCAGCGTGTTAAAATGAAAGAGGACAGCGTCAAAGGTCAAAAATTATGCCAGCCTAGATCAGACAGATCTAGACAGCCGTGGCAAAGGCCTCGATTCGGAAAAGGGGGTTAGGGTGTTGGAGGTAAAGCAGACCCAAGTGTTTCCATACGTGACTTGTGCATTCGCAGCAGTCGTCTGATACTCGACAACCGCTTACCTGCTGTCTCCGCGAGGTGGTACGATAGGTCACGACCCCACAGCGGACTTGGTAAGGGAGCAATGTCAAAGGAGTGCCGCAGCTCGACTTGATAAAAGAGGAAGATAGCCAATTGGAAAATAACCTGTATTCTTGAACAAGGAAAATCCACCCTCTTCTTACAGGATGATTTCTATGCTATCATCAGAACAAACGGTGACGTTCTTTACGGAAGCAAGCCAAGCTCAATGACGACACGTATATTTCACCGACTTTGCTTCAAGAAAAAGGACAAGAAATCAATAGAAAGCTCACGGCAGCAAGATTCTTCTAAATCTTCTGTCTGTTTATCCCTACAAGTGATATTATGTCTGGAAAGTGACGGGTAGGCCAGCGGAGGCCAATTCGAACCACTCGCAGATACATTATAAACCCGCTTTGAAGTAGACTCACCGACCCTTTAGCCTACCTATGCAATCCGAAGGTCAAAAACATTCTTCTTATCATTCTTTCTTCTAGTCCGAGACGGAAATATAATCGTTGGGCCTCAGCTGATGCGGTTTCATTTACGACTTCGGTACACTACACAGGAAAAGAAGATAGAGTTTTTATAGTGTTATTAGGGAAACGTACAAAGTAACCACATACGCTCAGTAAAGATGCGTAACTATTCAATGAGCATTGTATTTCGTGTAAAGTATTTGGCAAGCACGGAATCATCGAATAAATATAGCTTGTTTTGTGTCTCTGCCATAGCCTTTTAATGTATAGTTACAGCTATCACTTTTCTAATGACATAATTGAAGCCATTTATACCTGGGAAAAACGCCTTGACTCCAAAACTGCCAGCATTAGCTATAAAACGATATTGACACCGTTTAACTCTAGATACCGATTGATCTTTCTAAATGGACGCCTTGGTTCCTGATTTCTACTACTAGTAAAATCTTCGCTTCTATGTAACCTTTCAGGGGTCAAGACAAAACAAGCAGATGTTCGTGAGCTTTTATCTCATACAATCGATCAACTGTCAGAAGGTGCGTGAAAAGAATTGTGCCCGTGATTGAAAGAAGCGAAACAAGCTCTAGTTCAAATACGCTACATTCCATCTACAATAAGAAGTAGACAATAACCACGTCATCACCTCTTATGTGCCACCTGTCATCACACAGGATTGTACCTTCCACACAACCGTGTAATCCAACCAGCTATTCATCCAGCTTTCCCTCCCAAAAGTAGTTCTCCTTGTTTTAAACAAAAAAGCACACCAACATAGACAGTGACTTTTTGTTCCAATGGTAACCATCTGCCAGCTTTCGCCATAGGAATATTCACAATTTATGCTTTCATGCTCCATTCGGCCATGTCGCGCGTGATGGTAAATATAGCCGACGCCATGTCAGTATTGTACTCACTCTGGCCGAGCGGTAACGAAGCTGCCGCAAACGGCGCCTAGGGGAAGACAATCCAAGCCAAGCTAGGCGAACGGACGGATGGACGGGTCTGTCGAGTGAGGTAGTGGACTTGCTGGCTGGCGTGCCTGTAGAACAGCTGAAGAGCGGCCGAATTAAGGGAAGAAAAGGCTCGTAGACGGAGTGAGTTGCAATGAGAACGATACTAGGTTACGAGACGACGGAACACAGCACAGGATTGGATAAACCCTTCGCGGAATGGAGAAAAGCGCCGTTTCAGATCGGGGGGGAGGAAAGAACTTTCCAACACTTTGCTGAACAGAGGAACTACTCGCGTCCCGTTCTCTCTTACCATTTATTTCTCTCTGGTTCTCTGTTCCAGGA